TTTTGGTACCGGGGATCGAACTTGGGTCCTTGTGCTTGCGCAGCAGGCGGTGAAACCACTGAGCTAAATCCCTGGCCCTAAAGTATTAAATTCTTAATAAGATTGTGCATTTAGAATAAACATCAACATTTTCACATCAGCTGTGTACCTGCTTACACAACCTAGAAGATTACATCAGAATAAATTCCTATGTGAACTACAATGAAAAAACCAATAGAACTCTACAACAAAAATAAACTTTGCTTCAATTGTCACACCCAAGGCAGTCTTCACACATGACAACTGCATGTTTCATGCACACATCTCACTTACACTGACAGCACATGTGCTTAGCTTTCCTTTCCTATGTGGTAGGCCATTCTTTTCATCTCTCTTCTCTTTCTGTTTCTTCAGGAGCTTCCTACTATATTGTACAACATGCACTTAGCCAGATAATAAGATATCAATAAAATAAAATATCAAATATGTAATTAGTGCTTAGAATAGACATCAACATTTTTACATCAGCTATGTATTGCCTTACAAAACCTAAAAGATAACATCAGAAATAAAAATCTATGTGAACAACAAACTATGTAAATACAAACAAAAATCTACCACTGAAATAATATTTGCTTCAACTGTCACATCTCACATTGATAGCACATGTGTTTTATTTTCTTGTCCTTTCTTTTAGGGCACAGTTGACAACTTTTTGGTTTTCCTGTTATAGTATGTCTTTGGGATGCTGCACCTGCCTGTTCACCTGTCAGCTCACCAGTGTGCTTCATAATTTTTTTGTGTAATTCCCTGGGCAGAAACATTTTGTTTTTTCTCTGCTGTAAATGATCTCTTATGAGTTCCTATCCAAATCCTCTAAGAAAATTTCTCCATTGTATTTTACACTTGGCATTGTCTTTGTAAGCTATGAAACTATTTATGCCACACATATTGAGGATACAGTAAAACACAACCATTGGCAAATGCTTTGTTTTTCGAGTGACACCATAGTTGCTACATAACACATCAACAACATGTACTTCGCCTTTAATTTTGTTGTAGAAAGTTTCCATCTCAGGCTTTTGTTTTGTCAAGGTTTCCCTATCAATGTTTCCATCATGGTGCAATGTTGACACCAGAAGAACCAGTTTGTTTTTCTTTGTCATATATGAGGCCAATGTAAATCTTTCTGAAATCCAAAGATTATACTATACAATTTTCTGTTTTGAAATTACAACATTTCACCACTTAGAATTTCTGCTTTGTTCCTGCATATAGTTTCTGTGCTGATCAACTTGTGCTCTGTTAGCAAATGCAACATTGATTGGAAACTGTTAAACCAATTGTCAAATGTCACATTGCAATTAGTTTGGGAGATGGGAGCAACAAGTCTGCTAACATCATTCAGTTTATTCCTAAACGAATAAAGACCTGGTGGCTGAGTTCCAGGATAAATTTCTAAATTGAAAGCATAGTAAGTCTTCACATCTACGATGGCATAAATTTTTATGCCATTTTTTGACCCATCGCTTTTCCATAAATCTTCCACACTCCTGCGATCACCATGAGAAATCCCTGCTAACAACAGAGGACCTATGAATGCTTTCAGTTCAGCTAGTGAGGTGTCATAATAAATACATTTTTTAATAAGGCTGTTGGTGCATACAGAATATTTTACTTGTATTTCCACCTTTGTGTATTTCACAACAACTTGTAGCTTTTTGTCCATTACAATTTCCAACATTGAATGTCAGTGCTGGTATTCTGTCCAATAGGTTTCACCCCTGACAAGATCCTTATTGCATTTTTGGTTATTCCGTTTTTTGCAACATTTTGACTAGTCAAATATGCACTTACATTGCTGTTTTCTTCATCATCTGAATCAAGGAGATCTGCATTCTCTGTGTCTGTATCAGTCAATTCTGGCTCCATTTCACTATCATAGGAACTTTGGCTCACATGGCCAATGTCAAAGTCATTATCATCTTCATCATCCATGCATGAGTAATCTCATGATTCACTTTTGACTTCTAAAATTGCAAATCTGGTTTTTCATGTGATGTTGTACTGAATTGGGCTACTTCTACCAGAAAAATCAAAAGAAAAATATTTTGAAACATATCTTCAATGCACAGAAATTTAGCATTGAGCATTTCCTGAGTAAAACACATGTTGCTGATTTGGAGCTCCTGTACACACCTTACCATTTGTCTGCCAAGTGGGTGAATGCACAGATGGGTTTTTGCTTTTCCCAGTGCAGCCACTGTGAGTCACACACACATTCCATTATGATAAAATATATGTTTTCATAACAGAAGAGTGGTGTGGGTGTATTTTACCCCCTGTGAGGCTCAGGTAAACATACACAGCACCTGTTAGCCAGAGCATTGTCTTGGTAAAAGTCCAAGTTTGACACTTTTGCACACATCTTTCTGTTCATCATACCAAGTGGGTAAACACAAAGATTGCTTTCTGTGTCCCCTAGGTGCAGCCACTGAGATGTACAGCCTGCTACTGCTTTGCTAAAGTACAAATTTATAGTAGAAAATTATGAGATGGGTTGTTGTAACCCAATGTTATGCCTATAGTTAACATGAAATTTTTTTTCAGTGCTAGGTATCAAACCCAGTGTCTTGAGTATGCTAAGTATGCACTCTTCTACTGAGATATACCTCCAGCCCTAAAATTTCTTTTTAGTTACCTCTTATATATTAAGTCAAATTTGGCTCTCTTCAGGAAATCTTCTAAGGCAATCTTCTCATAAAATCTTCTAGTTTCTTGATGGAACATGTTTCTTCTAACTGCAAAATATTTAAGAAGAATAAAAGCAGCTTCACAAAAAATATGACTTCTCATTTCTTAAGTTGCTCAGATAAAACAGTAGGATTGCTGAAGTAAATTATCACTCTGCCATGGGATCATAAATATGTGTACCCCAGGAAAGAACCAGAAACTTCTAAAGAACCTAATGGTACAACCAGTTCTCTTACTGCCTCTATGGTCACTCTGATTTTCTAACCAAATAAATTCTAAATCTTTTTACCCCATAATAATTAGATTTAATTCAAGTCATGTTTTGGACTTAGAGCTTTGTTGTTCCCCTCTTAAAAGGGCAAGAAAATTGTATATCAGTCAAAGTGGTTTTTCCTATGCTACTCTGTCTCTCATCAGTTGTACATTTAGGTGACAATTTTCATTATACCTTAATAGATTGTACAATTTCTTTTTGTGGCAATTGGTCCTCTACTCCTGAATGAAGGACATGATGTTTGGTAAATACAACAAGAATCTACCAGAAAAGGTAGTGATTTCTGCTTTCCTAGAACCCCTTGGGAAAGGATTAGAAAATCCCTTTGTTCAGTTTGTTTTAAAAGCCTGGATCATGACTCTTTTTCCTAACTCTGCTGTTTCAACATTGGTTTTCCCTGTGTATGTCTGTAAACCTTGTGGCCTCTTGTCCAGTTCTTTCCACACTTCTAAATGTTCCTTCAGTTAACCCTGATTCTGCAGATGAAGTAAAATCTTAGAAATGCCACTAAGGTATGACGCATAAATGAATAGATCCCTTGAGATTAAGAAGTGATATGCTTGGGCAGACAAATGCATATTTAATTTTTTAGACCTTGAAACATTCTAAAAAAATAGAGATTGCAGAAAAATAGAACTGAATTTAAAAAATAAACACACACCTTTTTCAACTAGAATTCATTGCTTTAGGTTATCTAAATTTACCCATAATTCTGTTAACAGAAAAATGATATTTGCTGACCTTAACTTTTTATTGATTTATTTTTGCCATTGGTGTTACCCCTCTCCTTTACACACCCTAACTTTCTGCCCCTGCCTACTCCTATCCTGTCACAAGAATTTTTGATTTTTATCTAGTTTATTTTAATCAGTTGAAATGTGTGTCTCTGACTAAAAAGCAATGAGGGAAAACAAACCAGGACTATTTTCTTGCTTTCTTGAGGATTGTATGGTAGGTAGGTCCTTTGTCATTGTGCTACATCCCCAACCACAACAACAATATTTTTGAAGGTCTCTTTCTGTCTTTAGTTTTAATGAAACAAAATAATTTTAAAATAAACATTAATATAACATTTTTGTCTTTTCTGTATCTCTTAGGGCCCTCCTGGCCCACCAGGACCACCAGGACCAAAGGTAATTTTCTTTTTCTTTATGTCTTTTATTTAGTGTAGATTCTTTTACTTATTGTCAATGAGATTTTAACTGAAACCTTTCTCTTCAGGGGAATATGGGTTTAAATTTTCAAGGACCTAAGGGTGAAAAGGTGAGTAAAGTGTTGGTAGTTCAACCGTTCACTTTCTTCTTTCATATTCATTTAAACTATCTGTTTCCTTCCTTTGCCTCTTGCAATCAACATAGCTTACATGTTACATCATTATCTGTGGTTGTTTATGAAATATCACTGTCTTATTTTATCTTAAAAATAGGGTGAGCAAGGTCTTCAGGGCCCTCCTGGACCACCTGGGCAGATCAGTGAACAGAAAAGACCAATTGATGTAGAGTTTCAGAAAGGAGATCAGGTGAGTAGATGGGAGGAAATTAATTAAATTCTTGTTCTGAGCATGTTAATTAGCTTAATTGTGGTAATCATTTCACAATGTTTATGTATATCAAAACATCACATTGTACATCTTAAACACACAATTTTATTTGTTAACTATAACTCAATAAAGCTGCAAAAATAAAATATTAAAAGTTTAAAAAGCCTGGCTGTGAAAGTATCATTCCATTAAAATGCATATAAGCTAGAATATGATTTAATATAAGTGTATAAATAATAAGAATTTGGGATAATTAAAATTTTAAAATAGCTTTATTGGGACATCATTTGTATATCATATAATTATCAAACTGTATTATATATTTTTATGTTCATAGGATACTAAAATCATTACTATGATTATTTTAGAATATTCTCATTAGCCCTCTCCAAAAATTACATATCTATTAGTTGTCCCTCCCTGTCTCTCCTCAAACTATCCAATCTTATGCAACTACTAACTATTTCTTGGCTCTGTAGATTTGCCTATTCTGTATAGTTTATAAAAATAAAAGCATATAATATGTGGCCTTTTCCATCTGGCTATTTTCACTCAGCATGTTTTTAGGTTCAACCATTTTGTAACATGGATCTGTACTTCATTCCCCTGAGTACTAATGTATTGTGTGGCTAGTGTATATTTTGTTTACCCATTCATCACTTGATGTCATTTGGGTTGTTTTCATTTTGGACTATTTGAATAATGTATTCATGTGTAAAGCTAGGTCATAGTAATATAGATCAGTTTCTGTGCATTTTTACTTCACTTATATGCTATAAGAAAGTTAAAAATAAAGGAAAATTGTATTGAAATTCTACCATCAATGCAGATCAAATCATTTCATTCTCTACCTAAATGTATGTGCTCTGTAGGAGCCCCTAAATCTCCTAGTTTTAAGTACTTTTGCTTTTTATAAAACATTATGTAAGAATAAAAATCAGTGTTTTCCTTTAAAGTGTTGTCTTGTTATTTGCCTGAAAGCATGGCTGCTATATAGCATACTAGAAATTAAGTGAAGCAAGCAGAGATGGCTCTAAATTCTTTTGCCTAGCAGATTTCAATTTCGAGTTGGGAACATTTTGTAATTTTTGGTTATACTGCATGAATCTACAGTTAAATTGTTAGAAGTATTGCTAGCTAGTTCTAGTTAGAATGATAATGCTTGTTCTAGTATTAACATTGCTTATTGCTTTCCTTTTCCCTACAACTATATAGGGACTTCCTGGTGACCAAGGGCCTCCTGGACCTCCAGGGATACGTGGTCCTCCAGTAAGTAAACTAAAACATTTTGGCATTATTTCATGTAAATTGATATTGAGAGACAGTATCCCATGGACCAATATGAAATTATTTTTTGAATATACAGGGTCCTCCAGGTGGTGGGAAAGGTGAGAAGGGTGAGCAAGGAGAACCAGGCAAAAGAGTAAGTCTTATTACTACTAAACTTTGTACAAAAAATTCTAAATATGTCCATATGCGTATCTTGTATTCCTTCTTCTTAAATCCTGCTTTCACTGACTGAAAATATCCCTACTGACGTGTCTATTTTTAATAATATTGAAGTCTAGAATGTTTAACATAATCCAGGGCAGGAATAAAACTTATTATATTCTTTAATCTTATGGATCCTAACTAATGAATTTTATGTTCTTTTCCCCTTATTTTTTTTTGTGTCCTATAGGGTAAACCAGGCAAAGATGGAGAGAATGGTCAACCTGGCAATCCAGTGAGTAGCCGAGGTTCTTTCTCCTCACCAAAGCTGGCAATAGTTGTAGATATGGAATAAAAGCAGGATGACAAAAAGTTTGGAATTTGGAAGTTGCTTAAATGAATGAAAATTATTCATTTTTCTCTTTTGAATATACATTTGAGATAATTCTATTTTAAAGTCAGATTTATTGACACTTTATTGACCCATTTTTAGTGTACAGTTCTATATTTTGATAAATGTCCAGTTGGGTAACCACCCCCATAATCATGAAGTTTTATCACCCTCAAAAGTTCCCTTCTGTTTTTTGGTAATCATTTCCTCCCCTAATCCCCCACTCTGAACTTACTGCAACAACTGAACAAACTCCATCCCTATAATTTTACCCACCCTAGAAGGTTGTAAAGTAGAAGCATATTATATGTAGCCTTTTAAGTCATAATTCTTTCCTGTTGCATAATACATTGTTCTGTGTATCAGTAGTTCATTCCCTTTTGTTACTGAGTAGTGTTTGGATGTACCTAGGTTTATTTATTCATTTACCCATTGAAGGATATTTTGTTTGTTTCTGAGTTTTGGTACTTATAAATAAAACTATAACATTCATATACAGGTTTTTCATGTGTGAAAATAAGCTTTTTCAGTAGGCATTTTAAAACATTGTCAAGGACAGATAACAAAATTTGAAGAAATTTGAAGATCATCCCAAAGGAGAGATTTTTTAACAAAAGAGAAAGTTAGAAATACTGAAATGAGATAAATTTCAAGATGATTTTAACTAAACAGGCAATCCTCAACTTATACAATCTAGTTAAGAAATTTAGCATATAAAACGATTCAGAGCCTCAGTCCCAGGCTTCTTTTGGATCAATTGGTCTTTGTTTTGTGATCGAAGCAGCCATAATATTCAGCTATTGCCTCTGTTTTAACATATTCTCCAGGGGCATGGAGAGAGGCTGCTCTGTTTGCACTGAGAGAGCCAAGTCATGTCAAATAATGATACCTTGGGGCCGGGGATTTAGCTCAGTGGTTCTGACGTCTGCCTTGCAAGCACAAGGTCCCGAGTTCAATCCCTGGTACCAAAAAAAATAAATAAATAATGATAGCTTTGCAAGTTGACAGATAGTTCAAATAATGATATTTCTGTAGGAATGAAGCTTGAAAGGAGCTCCAACCCTGCTCTTTGTCCTACAGTTGCTGCTAGGCTACTGGTTTCTACCTTAATTGTGAGTTATTTGTTGTCTAGGGTACTGCAAAACTGAGGGCAGAGGTATGGGAATAGAGCAAGTGAAAATGCCACAGAGGTCTGTGTTCCTGCCAAGATTTAATCTTTAAAAACCAAAGCAAATAAAATGCTCCTCAGATTGCTGCAAACTTTGATTAATTTCTACAATTCTTTTTTTTAAAAAGCTAATTTTGATGGACTATTTGTGCCACTGTACCCATTGGTTCTGTTACGGAGGAAAGGATTTTTTAAAGTCCTTACCCTGTCACTTGTGCTGATACCATCTTGTCCTCTATGTCTTAAAGGGTTTACCTGGTGATCCTGGTTACCCTGGTGAACCAGGAAGGGATGGTGAAAAGGTAAGTATTTTAATACTTTGAAGTGCCTAGTTTTGTTCTATTTAATATGACCCTTTTTTTTCTCCCAAGGTAGAGTTATAAATTAAAAATCTTATAAATAAATACCTTTGTACTTAAAACATGCTTTCTTTATCCATCTTTTGGAGTTGCTTCTTTTTCTTTTATACCCCATCCCTTAAATTTTCTTCCATTGGTCTAAATCACAGTTCATATAGTGGAAGTACATGAAAGATGGTTTAACTTTTCCATTTCCATTGTGAAGTCATTGCCTTTGTTTGCACATGTATTGGTAAAACTTGTTTTTCAGAAAGAGGATTCAGCACTCTGTTAATGCGGTCCTCTTCGTGAAGAAGCTTGTAACTGTAAATTTAGGATATTTCTTCTAAACATTTATATTCTGTATGCAATTATTTTCCATACGTCTGTGGATAATTGTTTGTCATTGATTTCATTGGACCAGTGCAGACTGACTGAGATTATTTAGTTACCCATTTTTAAAGTGATTTTGAAAGAATGTACGAAACACACAGTTATCTCATTTGTAGCAGGTCACAAAATATCCATTCCTTCAAGCCCTCTGGTCTCTAATTGCTTTGTATCAAAACCAAAATGAAAAGATTTATTTTTCAGGAAAGAAGGAAAGGTATTACAAACTTGAATTAAAGAGAGCACATATTTTCATTGTGGTTTATTAATAAACTAGATCCAAGTTTTCATTTGACCTAAAAGGCCCAGTTAGAATACAGGGAGTCATAGAATTTCTTTTTAAATAGTACATAAATTATAAGGCAGAGCAATTCTTTAAAAAATTTGGTATATAGATGAAAAGTTTCTATGAACAAATCTAGAACCAGAAGTGTGAGAGAAATGTCTGTACTTGTGTCTTGACCAGTGGAGTAACAATTAAATAATGTGTTCTTCATGCTGTTGACTTTGTTTGTTGTTAGCTTCTTATAACAAACTCACAGAAGCAATCGCAATATATTAGCTGTTCCTGGTGATAGTTAAGCCCATCACCTGTAAAATATCTATCACTAATAGAAATAGCAGTAGACTTATGCTCTTAATTTTGAGAAAGAGAGAGGATAAATGTGAAAAATATAATGGTTTCAACTGATTCTAATGATACTGGTTTTTCATTGCTTTCTTTATAGAGTATTTATAGAAAAAGTAATCCTGAAATCAAAGAATGTTACTGCTATAAGTCTGGCACAAAGCCTTTGTTCTTTGTATGTAAACCAGAGAGCTTAATTGAGTTGGTCAAGATTACATAACTACTAAACATGAGCCAATGTCACAGGTCTTCCTAGGTCTAAACCAGTATTTTTTCATAACCTCATGTTATATTTCTCATTTGGTGTATTTTATTACTGATTTCTAAGTCTTTTTATGACTCTTGTCTCATATGCTTGACAAAATTTATGTTTTCATATGATTTTTTACTAACATTTTACAATTGTATTGAACAGGGCCAAAAAGGCGACATTGGTCCACCTGGGCCTCCTGGAGTTGTAAGTCTTTTTTCTTTCTTTCTTTCTTTCTTTCTTTCTTTCTTTCTTTCTTTCTTTCTTTTCTTTTCTTTTTTTCTTCATGTATCACATCGAATGCTGCATTTCACTCGTGCCTTAATTATGTACTATCTACTTTTTTCTCAAAGAAAAGTCTAAGTCATTACCAATTTTTACTGATTGGAAATCTTCACATCTAAAAATTTCATTAGTGTTGACCTCAGGGTCTTTGTACTGTTCTGTTTATTGCTTCTCCACAGTAAAGATCCAAAATAATGGCACTGGATTGTTTTGCAACGTGATTGCCCGTCATTTCTCAAACAACCAGCAGGTGGTGCAAGTGTTGCTTACAAAGGTTTAATTACAACAAAACAAAACTCAGGGCGGGGTCCTTTACCCCTGCAGAACACGGGAAAGATAGAACTGGATAGAATTGGTCTTAATAGGTTTTCTCAATTTGTAATTATCTGTCTCACACTTCTTTCTTGAGTATATGCTCTTTAGGGACTCAATAATAAATGTAGGCAACTGCTTTATGATAGAATAACTGAGGGATTTATAGATTTTGTCACGTTTGAATTCACCATGAAATTTAATTCAATATATTGCCAATCTTATTAAAAATAAAATGTCATCGCTGAAGTTTGACATTGTTTTTCTTCATTGGTTTAAGTTTGGTAAGATTCCAGACTTTAGACAGCATTGAAGCCACAGAAATGTAGTGCCATAAAACTTATTCTCTATGTCCAGACATTTTAGTAACGTTAATTTTTTTGTCCATAGTATGTCTCAGCTATTAACATTTAGGACTGTACTAAATCTAATGAGGATATACTTAAGGTGTTAGACAATTTTTATTCTTGTTCATTTTAAAATCAGAGTTTCAGTTCTCTAGGAAATAATCTCTAGAAAATAGGATAATAAAATTTTGACAAGTATCAGGAGAAATGGAAATTTTGAGAGTGAAATCCTATCTGGAAGCTCATATTCCCTTTTGAACTACTATCTCAATTCTGGATTCTACAATTCTTCGTCTTGATATGTGTTAATGGTTTTATATCCAATAAAAGTAAGATGAAATATCACACTTTGCTAGTAGACGCTGATTTTTACCTCAGGCTGAGAAATTTTAAAATCTGGTTTATTTACCTTTATAGGTCTGTGATATTAATTTTACATTATTTATTTCATATGAAGTTTTTTAAGATAAACTTAAATCTTGAATTCTAAGAACACATAGGAAAAAGGTATGATCAGTTGGTTGGGTTTAAACAATATAAACTTCCTGAAAAAGATAAATTTTTAAAAGAAAAAAGATGTAAGCTGACAGCAAAAAGTTGAGGGAAGCCATTGTAGATATTTGGAATGGCAAATGCAAAGGTACAGATAGGTATGTGCAAGTTGTATAAAGTGATTCCTGTAGATGGAATTCACTTTGGTAAAAATTTATTGCTAGAAATAATAAGAGATTATGGTGAGAGGTATTGGAAGTGAGAAATGATTTGACAGAGACCAGCATTATAAGTAGCATCAGATGTAGTATGAAGTAGTAAGCAATTTGCAGTGCTTATGCAAGGTATTTAACACAGAAAAATTGGGTTTTGAGACATCATGTCTTAGCAGCAAATTTAGATTCAAAGGAACAAGCTTGAAAGTGTATCTGTTAGTCCAAGTGAGTTTAGGATAGTAGCTATGCCAAGAGGAATAAACAGGAAAAATTAGAGAGATATTTTTGGTAAAGAATTGTCAGACTTTAGATTATTGGAATAAATTGAATGTGACTTATAAGAAGAGACATCAAAACATACTTCTAACTTTGTAAGCCTGGGGCTAGGGAAGGTGGTAATATTGTTACTGATATCAGACCTTTCCTAAATTAGTTGGAGGATAAAAGTGATAAGGAGTATAACTCAATTTATGTCATAGTCTTAATGATTTTACATCTGAATATTTTGTGAAAATGGGACATTATGATCATATGTAGCTCCCAAATAACTTCCAGGAGAAGAGTCTTTCTTTTTGAGTTTCTGTATGTTTTTCATTCATAATAAAGGTAATTCCTAGACCTGGTACTGGTGTCACTACAGGAGAAAAAGGAAATACTGGCTTACCTGGTTTGCCGGGAGAAAAAGGAGAGCAAGGATTTCCTGGAATGCAGGGTCCACCTGGCCTTCCTGGTCTTCCAGGTAAAAGAGACTATATATACTTGCTTTGTGCTTAGAGCATCGATACTAATCCACATATATACTTTATCATACTAGTTCTAGGATAAGAATGACAGTAGAAGACACAAGTAATTCTTCTCAGCTTGTACTATACCTTTTCTCACCAGATTCCTTGCTTGTATGTTTTTAAAAATCCTATTTACATAATTCTCCTTTATCCTAAGAATCTCATTTCTACTTTTTTATTATTAATAAATTATACCAAACAATTATGTGCTCCAATACTCGAACCATCACATTTTTCATGCTATTAGGGAATGGGATACTAATGCCTGCTTCTGTAAGATTTCCTATTTTTAAAAAACAGTAAGGAGCAGTGTCCACTTAGAATTCTAGAAACATGTAACTAGAAATCTCCATGGCAATTTTGCTGTGCAGTAACATAACTCAATTCAAAATTTTATGTCATCCTCTTTGAAGATACATGGAATAGTGTGGCATTTCTAATTTGACTACAAATTGAGGACTGCCTTTATCTAGCATGTTTTTTTAGCTGAATTCTCTTTGAAAAGGGTTTTATTTGGAATTTATGTAAAACTTACAAAAGCATCTGATACAGCTCCTTGCACACATACCTACTCAATAAATTATGGTTCCTTTCTCTTCAAAATTATGTAGTGAATAAAAGGTTAGCATGATAAAATGAATGACACTCAGTGATCCTTCCTAGAAAAGACAGTGAATATGTGTTCCTTTATGATTTAATATGCATTTTGGATTTGTAATCTCAAAATGGTGGAGCAGATATATACTGCAAGATTGAAATAAGAAATTCTTCCAGGATACTATAAAAGAGTTAAGGATTTGAGAAGTAGGAAAGAAAAATTGAGATGTAAAAGTAAACGTAGAAGCTCCCAAATGCATCATGAGTGAGATCAAGGAGGAGTAAATGGGATGGGATGTGATATTTGAAAACAAATAATGGCTGAGAAAAGACAAAACACCAATTGACAGACAATAAGATAAAATTGGGATAAAATATATATATAATGCATAATAAATATATCTAAATAAAATAAAGAGAAAAATTGAAAATAAGAATGCAAAAATGTGTTAGGCAAATGAGATAAAAAGAAAGCTAGCTTAGCAATTCTAATATAGTATGAAATACAATTTAGTGCAAGATACATTAAAGAGACAAGTATTTCATATGGATAAATAGATAAATTATGCAACAGTGATCTAAATATCATGAAATTCTCTGCATCTAGCAAATAGCTTTAAATACATAAAATGAAGACTGATAAACTACAGGGGGTAAATTGGCAAATACCTACCATTTCAAGTAGGTGAAAAATAAGAACACAAATAAGTCAAGCAATAAAATTTAGTTATCTGTATGGGTGGGAGAAATTTGTTACCAGTACAATGTATACATTCTTCTCTGATACATAAAATATTTACAGAAATTGATCTTATTAGTCCAGAAAAAAATATAATACGTTACTTTCTATGACTACAGTGAAATAAATTGATCATATAACAACAAAAAAGCCAAATATCTTTACATTTGTATGTTTAAGAATCACAGCTATGAAAAGAGATAACAAGGAAACAGTGATGGAAATGACAAGCTATTGCATACTAAGCAACAATGCAAGCACTTTGTATAAAAACTTACTGAACAGAGCAAAAGTAGTACTCTTAATTTATCACAAAAATAAAAGAGGAACTGGAAATGTAGGTAAATGGTAGGTTGCTCACTTAGCATGCACAAGGCCTTGAGTTCCATCCAAGCACCACAAAGTAAAGTAAATAAGCTAAATTTAACACACACACACACACACACACACACACACACACACACTGAAACAAGCTGCACACAAGTATAAGAGAAAACTTAAAAAGTACATAAAATTAAAAGCAAACTAAAATATTTAATGTTTAATAGGGAAAATAATGATGCTATTGAAAAGATGAAGTGAATAAAATTTGGGAAATATAATCAAGATAAAAACAAGAGAAGGCTGGGCAAGGTGGTATGTTTCTGTAATCCCAGGTACTTGGGAGACTGAGGCAGGAAGATCTCAAGTCTGGAGCCAACCTGGGCTGCTTATCAAGAAATAGCCTCAGAAGCCCATGTAAATAAACGGCACAGGAGCCCAGGTCCCAGCCACTGCCCCACCGAGACCACCAGAGGCTTGAGCACACAAGCCACAACCAAAGGAACCCCTGGAAAACAGCTGCTCAGGCACATAGGCCCCAGCCAGATGCCACACCAGATACCATCACTGAGTGCCTGCAAATTCCAGCCAGAAGCCCAGGTGAACAACAGCTGCACAGGTGCCCAGGTCATAGGCCAAGATCCACCCAGACTCCAGTGGCTTGAGCACACAGCCCCAAGCCAAAGGCCCTCCCAGACAATAGCTACACAGGTGGGCAGGCCACAGCCAGAGGCACACCCAGATACCATCCTAAGTATGCACGGGCCTCATCCAGAGCACTGCCCGGATAACAGGGCAACATAAGGATCCAGAAGGCCACCATTCTGAACTCAGGAATTGGCTACTTGGTAAGCAGCAGAAAGAAGGCCTCTCTGGGGCTTGCTGTGCCCACTGGGCGAGCAGAGTGACCATAACAAAGGTCAAGCAGGCTGTGTCTGTTCAACTGAGAAATCACATAAACAAGACTCAAAACCAGACTTCCAGATAAGCTAAGGCAACCCCAAGGGGAAACGAGATGGAACATATTGATACTCAATAACCTGTACTCCCTAAACTGGTGAAAAAAAGGATCTGGGAAAAAGGAAATCAGAAATAATTTCTAAGATAACAGCAGAGACTGTGTCCCTGGTAAAAGACATGACTAATAACTCTAGAGCAGACACAGATAAAAAAAAAATAGAGGAGCTGAGGAACATGATGTAATCTCAGCATAGAAAATGAATGGAATCCTTAAAACGGGGAATTGGACATCCTGGAGATTAAAAACTCCATTGAAAGATTACACAGCAGAATGAGCCAGTGTGAAGACAGGATATCAGGTATGGAAGACAGGATTGCAATTACGGAGTAGGAAAACAAAAATTTCTTAAAAATGGTAAGGGACCATGAGAAATCAATCCAGCAGGTGCTAGATGATGCAAAGAAGAATGACATAAGACTGATCGATGAAAGTCAATGAAGAAATCAAAGATAGTACAAAAGAAGTAAAAACAGCTGTTCACAGAAGTAATGGCAGAAAATTTCCCAAGCAGAGGAAAAGAACTTGACATACACATAAG